AAGTATGTGTTTAATAGGAAAAAATAATTTTGTTTGTATTTTGACTCGTTCCATTTCTCTTACATGAAAACAATGATTTAAAAAAACGTTCATCTGTTGATCAATGTGAAAAATCGAATGACAGCTTTTCCTCAGCAACCAAAAGGAATTTCAAAAATCTGCTGGTAAAATACTTTTGTAGGTTCTTATCCAGCTATGCAAAAATATTGGCTCTGAAAACTGTATCTAGACATGTGGTTTAGACCATATTTCTAGATGCAGTTTCCAAGGATTCAGAATATTATCTTGCTGAGACTTGAAAGTGTAATAGTGCGAAGAAAAACGCATTTTCTGCAAAAAGTCAAACTTTTGAGGTTTAAGAGCAAGTGGCAGGTTAATTAAAGTGAATCGCTCCTTTGGCGTCACCGAATTTTGCAACGCTATGTGCTTTTTAGTTTCAACTGTAACCAAGAAGGCCATGTAAAAGAAGAATGTCATACTTATAGACAAGCTGATATTTCTACAAATATAAAAGTCTTCTTCTTCTAATCCACGTTGTTTGGCTTTTCTAGGTTATTGTAATCACTATGGATATCGAAGTGAGTTTCACAGTTAAACTATTTCTGAGAAAGCTAAACTATTTTTATCTCTTTTAGCACATGCAAGTCAATGTCCAGCAGGTAGTAATACAAGTGGTAGTTCTGGCTCTGGTTCTGCTTCTGGTACTAATACAAGTGGTAGTTCTGGCTCTGGTTCTGCTTTTGGTACTAATACAAGTGGTTTTCAGAATGATATACAAAACTCTAGTTCTCGATCTGGAGGAAAAAAACAGGAGAATAGTCTAACTCGAAAAGGTTTTTTCATAAGACTTAAATTTTAGATGTTTTTTATGAAAGATTTACAATCGATGCTACAATCTACTATCTGATAGGCTTAAAGCGTTTAAAAAATCAAGTAGAACGTCATGAATCGTCCTTTTGTAAATGGCTAGAATTTATCAATATTTACTCAGTACAGTAGTTCAGGTTACATTCCTATTTTCTCCTCCCCTCCTACCACGTATTATTGGTTGCTTTTAAGGTTTGTGTTGTTGTTTGGTTGTTTTGTATAGAAAAAAAAGATACGTGTGTGATTGAAGATATGTGCTTTTGTTATTCTCATTTTCAATGAGATGTACAAAAAAAAATCAGTGTCAGTTATGTACAAAACATTTCATATTTTCTTAGCGTAGTGTGCAGACTATTTTTGTACTAGAATTTTGGCAGTTTATATCTGCTTTTTTCACTTTTTCAAAAGGAAATCACATGAAAAAATAAGTAATAATACAAAGGTGACTGAATAGTTTGTCTGCATTGTTTGTGATTTGGTGTGTTTTTCTTCTCTAGTATGTCTTAATTTTGTTAGTAAGTTTACACTTTTTCTAGTGCCATTTGATTCTAATTAAACAAGAAGCTGTTGATTAAGATAATTACCACTAATTCTAATATTATTTTAAAGACGACGCCCTTTTTTTCAATGAAAGTTTTCTAGAAAACGTTTGTAGACCCTCTAGAAACCCTTTAAAGATCTTGTGAATGCTTCCATCGAGTTCTATCCATTTTCTAACCTATATGAAGCTATTTCCATTAGATCTGAGTCGAAAATGCGACAGTTAATCGAAAACGACCTGGCCGTTTTTCCGTCCGTTCCAGTTAAAGCCGTTTTTCTCTGCAAGGAAAAGGAATTTTGAACAAGCACACACATATTTTTAAAGCTCGCATGTTGGCCGATCAGATGGTGTATAAATGAAGATCCCATCCATTCACCCAAAAAATTAGATAGGTTTACAAAATGACTCATACTGATTTGACCTCGATCGGTTCGGATGTCCATGGGATGAGTATTTACCTGCGAAATGATCAGCATACATTTTTCTAAATCAGTTTTCAACGCTGAATCAGAAAAAAATAGTGTGAACATTTCATCCTGTAATATGACTTCTAAAAAATGAATTTTACTATAGAGGTCAAAGTTTCCGATTTTTGACGTGCGTCGATTATTTTCGACTTTTCGACACAAAAATATGTCCAAAAAAAATAAAAGCCACATATTCTTGATCCTCAGCTTCCGGGCTATCCAACTATATATAATAAATTGAAAAATGAATTCTACTCGAATTTTTAATTAGTTGCACCTTGCTTTTCTGTTTTGAAAAATAATCAGATGAACAACTGAAACCAGTTTAAAAACAGATAGAGTAATGGTAATCAAGGAGAAAATGTTCACGAAAACGATTAGCAGATTTGAACGGACAGTGATCAACGAACAAACAGTAACTGAGCACGTTGTTGTTCAAGTGATAATCAAGTTTTCTAGGCCTGTATCATCATTAACATTCTGTCCGCCAGGAACAACCATTGTAATCTTATTGATATTACACCAACCAGGCTCGAATAGATATTTAGATGTTTTAGTTAGCGAAAGTGTTAACAACCATTTATTTTGGACGTCCGGGTTCATCTTTTTTGAAAGTTCTTTGTCTCATTCCATTAGTGATATGCCAACCCTTCATCACAAAGTTTAGTCAAACATTTTTCTTTTCTTTATGCAGTTCTTAGCTACTGTCTAATACGTTCTTGTTATTATCCAATAAAAGTTAAGAAATAATACTTGCCATCCTTTAACTTTTATATCAGATAAAAATCTTAACGGTCAGAGTGACATACATCCATATTAAATTTCTATAATTAGACGATGGTAATGGTGCATTAAGCGTTATTGGCGGCAAATCGTCAAATGTAACATTTATTTGACCCAAAGAAGTACATTCTACAAGAACAAACAAAGCTACAACTTTTTATTGGTCAAACACGGCGTTGTTAAACTGTAGAACGTATCCTTTGACCCTTTCACTAGCACCCGGATATTCAAATACCATACTGGGTGGCAACCTTAAGCAAAATTTTTCAAAGTGCATCTTGCTACATTTTAAGCGGCAAAGCACCCGCGCCAGGGTAAGAGTTAAGGCGATAACTCATGAGTCTGATAATTTTTCATTAAATTAAGGTTTTTCCAAAAACTACTGTCGCTTTAACCACAAGAAATATTGCTCTTGAAAATCATGTTGATTTTCGACAATTGTCGAAATTGTTGGAGGCTTTGCTCTGAATATTCGATAATACTGTGAAACTCCTTCGGAATTTGGACTGTCGAAATTCCGATGACGAAATTCTAGGTGGTGATATTCTAGGATATCATTCGTATTAAAACTTTTACATGAGGATGAGCGGTATACATTCATGAATTGTCTCATCGGTGATGGATATATCTTCTTCGAAAATTTTAGTCGCACTCTCATATTTTATTTTCTGCTGATCAGTTGTTTTTTTATCAGATATTGTATAGAACCTACTCTAAAATATTTTGGTGAGAAACAGTTTTGGGTACTTTTGACAGATGTCTAGACTGCAAACAAGCGGATTGTTAAAACCTCTTGCAAAAAGTTTTTCTTAAAACCGCTTGTATGAATACCATGATATCTAATAAGAAACGCCTAATTTGTCGCTTCACAGTGTTCCACAATGGGTCTCATCAGGTTTTATAGGTTAGGCTGATTCTATGCACCTTATAGAAAAAATGACATTTTTTACCGTCCTAACCATCTCAATCACCTGAATATACAAGATTGTCTCAGGCACTTTCTATGTCAAAAAGCGCTAGTAAAAAAAGATGCTTTGGTCACAAAAATAATCTGCGAGGAGAACTGCATAAAGTAATCAGCCTAGTCTATAAAATCCGATCAGACCCATTATGAAACAGTGTGAAGCGACAAGTTAGGCATTTCGTATTAAATATCATCCTGTTCATAGAAGCGGTTTTTAACATAAACTGTTTTCAAGATTTTTGTAAAAGCTTTTAACAATCCGCTGTTTTGTATTTTAGAGACCTGACAAAAATAACAAATAAGTAAAGAAAATTCCAGTTTGATTCACATGTAGGCGCTTAAATAACATCATATTCTGTACATACTACTTGTTCTTGCTGAAACAAAACCCAAATCAAACAGTATTGTTGTATAGTGAAATAGATTATTTTCCTTTGAAAACATGCACATTTAGATTTTATATATAACTGTTATGAAACATTGAGTCTTACTTGAAGTACTGTGGATGTTGTTAATGTTGATGCTGTACTGGTAGGTAAACTTAGCATAAAAATCGTTCATTTTGCATGTAGAAGGAGTTTGAGTTCACGATATCTCGATATGTAGAAGAGATCAGTAATTCGCCTTTTTCGACAGAAGTCACTGAGCGCTCGTTTAAACGATTCGAAAAATCCATACTCAAAAATTGGCTTTTATTTTCATGCTTCTTCTTATAATCTTTGAGCTCTTACATGTCGGCAGTTATAAGAAATACTTAGTCCACTAACGTTTTTCATAATTTTGTAACCAGACATTGCATAACACTGCATATGGCTACAGTTTTCAAAGTTCTTAAAACTGCTTTCATGCTCAAAACCGAAATCGTTTTTTTTAAACATCTACACCTAAGCAGACTAAAGCATTCGTGTCAGGAGCGTGACGAGCTCTCGCAACCCACGTCTTGCAGAAAGTCAAAATCTACACAAGTTCTTTAAAGATTTTCCTTCTTGAAATTTCTTGATCAAGAACTTGATCAAGATTTACTACGGATGCGAGCCTGACATATCTTGAAAATTCTGTATCAAGATCTTGAAAAGATTTGGGAACTTTTCTGAACTCATTAATGTTCACTAATTAGGAAACTTAGTCCCATATCTGGACAAGGTAGGTGAAAAGGTACAAGAATTTTATACATATTGATATTCTTTGTGGTACTACATTATAGTGGACTTGACCTTGTATTCTATTGTTCGACTAGATGCACAAATGAATAAATTATACTTGTTATTGTCTCTATCACCGTTTTTGTTTTGCAGTAGTG